GGTATTCGTCTGGAGACAGCTTGCTCAGCCGCCGGCGGTAGCCCCGGGTTTAAATGGACCTCTTTTTTTTTTTTTCCTGTGTTCAGCCAGAACGAATAACGCTGTCTGGAAACACGACGGTGCTGCAGAGTGACAACCATTAGCTCCCATCATTGTCAAGTCCCACATCCACACTGCAACTAATGTGCATATACAGCATTAAAGTGACAGAGGATTGCAACCATTGTTAAAACTACACTCCATTGCATATCAGGGAGAAGTAAGAATGAAAATAACTCTTTCATACATTTTTTTCACTTGCATATAGCACGTAACCCAGCGTTTCTTTTGTACATCATATTTATACATCTGTGGAAAGATAAAAAAAAGAAAAGAAACTGAAATCAGAAGATGTACTGCGGCCGGGCTGCTGGAGAAGGATATAGGAGCGCTACATCCAGGGGTATTGCTGTTGCTTTCAAACTTGCATTTCAAGCTTTAATAGTGCGACTCTGTGATGTCATAGCGGGCATAGATGTGGTAAAAAACAAAACAAACTCATTGAGTTATGCAATGCGATCAAAAAATATACAAAAATACCTTTTTTTTTTTGTTTGTTTGTTGCACAGACAGGTGGTGCTGGTTAAAAGTGTTTTAAGAACCGGGCTTTGTGTAATAACGCGGGTCAGTGCAGGTGTAAGAAGACAAGCAGACGGGTAATGCACACCAAAAGAATAAATCCTTTTAGGGTATATTAATTATTTTTTTTACTCTCTACCTAATTTACAAGCTAAACGGCAAACATGTGCTACTGTAAATGTTTGGATATTTCCCATGGGGAAAACTGGGATGAGAGGCTCCGGGGATTCTCCTCACAAAAAGGGCCTGCCTGAGGAAGAGGGGACGGAGGGGAGGGGGTTGACAGAGGCGCATTGTTCATAGGAGTCACGGCGGTCACCCCTCACGTTAGACTCTGCACCCCTTTGATGGATCAGTCCACACGCCATCATACTCGCACACAACGCAACACACCCAGACTAAGAACCACTTCCAACCATGTGAAATATTTCTGGACCACTGCCTTTGTTTTTAACTCAAACACTTGAAGGTTTCACGTTAGCTATGCTCACATCTTCAGGGAGTGGGGACATTTTTCAGCAATCTGTTTGCTCTTGGTCATCTGTAATAATCACACAATGCTATTAAAGGGCTTTTTATGCCGATGAAACTGGAAATTGAACAAAAAAAGCTTGACTTATGATAAAATTTGAATTTTCTTTGCGCTGGTTAGACGAGTTTGGGTCAGGGTTTCCATTTTAAGTCCAATATTCACGACTCTGGGGCAAACAAACGTTGCTGACCTAACACTTCCAGACACCACCGCAGAACACAAATACACGATTAAAGTGCTATTTACTTGGAGGAATCCCTTGCCTTCCCTATGGCAATATAAAACTATTCTCCCTAAATGTTGTTGCTCTTTTACTGTTTATCCCCGAAGAAGCTCTGGTAGAAAAATAAGACTGGGGGGGAAAAAAAGAATAAATCTGTGAGCACACTGAAGCACCAACAAAATGCCAGAAAAGCAGAACAACACAGGATTCAATGTTTCCTTAACACTACAGTCACCTCTGCAGATGGGTGGAGAGCAGCTGGATAAAAGCCTCCCTGTCACACAGCAGAGGTGACGTTTGAGGAACCCAGGAAATCTAAACCGAAGCAGCACAAACTAAAAGAACCAGTTGATCCATAACAGAGGGACCCACGGCAGCAGCAGGACAGTTGTGTGTTTTAGCCACTAAAAGTAACTGCACCTTGGGCAGGAGGAAGTGTGAACATGCAGCGTGGACAGTTTTCACGAAGTGAAGATCAGCAGAAAATCTTTTGGTTTGTCTCGGAGGAAATGGTGATCGGTCCGGCTCAGTTCGCCGCTTCTCTAACTCTGATCCATGCGTCACCATTTTGTCCCAACCTACATCTACATTGCATTTCTTTCTTCTTTCAGAAAAGCAAACTCATTTCACAAATGACTAAAACCACACGATACATCAGGAACCCTGGTGAAACAGCCAACACCTAATCTGAGCAGGTTGGCTTTAAGCTGTTGTACTACAACAGCTTGAAAAACGCCAGGATATGCAGATAAAAGTGTAGTCTAAGTTATTCATGGGCCGAGATAGGAGGGAAAATGTGACGTTAACTTAAACAGGACAGATCAAGTCCTCCAGTGATCTTCCAGACTGAGCTTAACCTTTGGCCTGGGCAGATTGCATGTTCACACTTACCGGGAAAGTTTCACTTTTGCATTTTCTTGTAAAATGTTAAAGGGAACCACGCTGCCTGCCCCCTTCTATTTTCTCCTACAGTGACCTAAAGCCTTTTTATTCAGAAGAAACCCAGGAAATTCAACAGAATTCTTTAATACTACCATCTCTATGGGTGTTCTAGATTATTCCGTTAAAATGTGCTCACAGTAAAGGATTAAACTTCCCTATTTTTGGTTATTCCAGCTGTGAACCAGAACCTGTGTTGGACAGAATCATGACTGCATTCTGTCCCAGCGATGCCTACAGCAGAACAGCAACCTACTGACCCACTAAAGGCCTAATACTACGTGACAAAGACTAATGCATGCATTAGTGAGGGACAAGGCAACAAACTAACAGACAACCTAATTTAACGATCAGCTCCTAATTAAACGTAGCACCACTAAACTGCAATCTGTAATGTGCAAGAAAGTTAGCGAGCTTCAAGCTCATGCACCTCTTCATGGTTATTCTTTCAGTCTCATCTGAATGGACTGTGTTAAAGCACCTCCTGCTCCAGGCTTAGACTATCAAGCAACCGACTATGGAACAAGACTGATGATTACGGAAAGGCACAAAGGTAACACTTATTTACAGAACTGACAGGGCAGCCAGCAGCAGTATCAGACCAAGTCACATCTGAAATGTTTGACGATATGCTAAGATCTCTAACTGTGAACACAACCTGCATCAAAGTGATAACAGTGATTTCCAAAAAGTACCATATCACCATTACATCACTTAACACACACAAAAACGTGTTTCAAGGGGTTTGTAAGAAAGAAAAAAGCAGCACAAACTTGGGAGAAGTAATGTTCTACAAATAAATCATGAAAGTTTGGAATGTATCTGTATTCTGCCGCTTTTATTCAGGTACCGTGAAATAAAATCCAGCATAAAGGACTCCCTTGTATAAATCCAGCTGTTCTGTGGATGCCTGGGGGGTTTATAAGAAGAAAAAAAACAGCTTGATGAGGACTGGGACAGTGGAGCTGGTAGAAAAGTGTTTTTATATATGATGCATCAAGATTCCACAGCTCCATTACCAGTTATATTTTATATTTTAACAAAATTCAGAATTAAGTGCACAAAAAGTCCTGTACATAATCTGCAAGAAGAAAAAGGTTATTGTAACTCAATAACATGCATTTGGGATGAATTAGGGCAGGGGCTGTAATCCCAGTTTTATCATTTAACTTTGAAAGCCCTAGGGCTGAAACAATTAACCGGATTAATCGATTATTGAAAAAAACCATCAACTAATTAAGTAATCGATTAATCGTTAACTAGAGTATAGACTCTAATTCATGCCTCACACTTAAGGCAGTAATTATATCAAGATTGTAAAAAATATATAAACAATTTGCATTTAAGATTAAAAAAAAATGTCAATATCTAGAACTCAAGTGGAAAATTTTGAATTTCAACTGGTTTAAATATGTAAAAAACTAGTTTGAGGAACCTTCAGCTATACAATTATTACTCTATTAATTGAAAAAATAATGGACAGATTAATCGATTTGCAAAATAATCATTAGTTGCAGCCCTAGAATGCCCCCTTTCTTTGTTACGTTTACAGAAAAAAGCTGCTACTACAATTGACAAACTTTTGGCCATACAGTGCATCTGACCAATCAGATTTTTGCCCACCTAGGGATTAGAATAAATAAATCTCTGTGTTCTTGCAGATTGTAGATTGCAAGAACAAAGATTGCAGAATGTACAGGAGCAAATTAGTTAGTTTTTTTTATCCAAGGATTCTAAGCAGAGTGCTCTAAAGAAAAATTAACATTACAGGCCAATAATTACAATAAAGACTCTTAATGGGCCACTCATAACTCTGGAGCTACAGATTATGATTATTTACAGATTATTATTACAGATTATGACAAATAAATCTAGTCTGATGAGAAGGCCACGGGAAAGCACATTTTCCACAATCACAAAACTGGCCAAAGAAACTGCAACCTAATTTGTAAAGACTGGTGGGAATACAGTATCCCCTGTTATGACACAATAGTTGCAGCATCATGCTGAGGGAATGCTCCTTAGTAGAGATAGAAAAGCTCACAAAAACAGTAGAAACACAACATAATGCTTGCAGCTGTAATTGCAGCAAAAGACACGCAAGTATTTACTCAAGGGGGGCTGATTACAAGTCCATTCCAAACTTTTCAGATTTTCATTTGTCTAAAGCAAAAAGCAAATGTATGATTTCATCTCCACAGTTATGTGCCGTTTTCTGGTAGTTTTACACATAAAATCCTGATAAAAAATACACTGAGATTTGTGGTGATAAAATGTGAAAAAGTTCATTATGTTGGCGAGATGATGCAACATTACATGCACTCGCAAAAAATGGATAGAATATATTAAATGTAGAAAAAAATACAGAGCTGTGTACTGGTCTGCTAATTTTACCACCCAAAGCTACATCTGTTAGCCGCCTATTAGAGCACAAGCTCAGGACTTTAGGTCAACACCCCGGTCAGGGTCAACATGGGACAGTCCTTGAATGAGGGTGGGTCTGACACAGATGGGTTTCTAATATATTAGCCTACCAGTGTTAAGCTAACAGCAACGAGCAGAGGTCTTCAGGATGAGTTTTTTTTATGATAAAAGGGAACATAATGTAGCACATACAACCCTGCAAAGCTGAAGACAGCAGAGATCCTGAATGTTGACCTGTTTCATAAAGTTTAATGCATACTAGTTAAGATAGTTAAGATATGACTTTAATAAGAAATATGCAATTTGTCCTGAAGTACCGTCACACATCAGGAATAAATCTGTCAACTTAGCCATGGTCCATATGCATACTTTAAAAGAGATCTAGCTGATTTCATGCATGCAACCATATGGCATTGAATGTATCTTTTGCATTCAGACTCACGTCGTCAGCTCTGGCTGCAAAATGATCAGCTGCACCAACAGCAGCCTGCTCAGCTCACACACACCCAGCCCTGTTAAGGTGCTCTACCAAGTGTTAATGAAGGTAAATGGTGAAAACAAAGAACGCACAATGTGAACTGTACAGCTCGAGATAGTAGTTTGGTATGAAGAGAGGGGGAGACATGCAGGCAGGTCTACGAGCAGGGTGGTGGTGTGGGTTCAGCACGGACATTTAGCACAAAAATTAGAAGAAAGAGACACAAAGGGCCTTTCCTCCGTGTCAAAACAACCTGTTCATCTTAAAAATGTGCTTGACAGACAGCGTTACACTGAATATAATCATGTATTCTCAGTGATGCAAGTAATACAGAAAACAAAGATTAGAATGAACTTTGTATTAGCTTGTTATACTTAATTCTATTCTCCAATAAAAAGAAAGCCACATTACTATGGCGTCTAACGGGCTACCGAGGAATTTCCTCAGCGAGCGTGCACAGGTGGCAGAGTAGCCCATCTTATTTAACCTTGAGTGGCGGCTCCCTCTCTAGCCAGCGAACTCGTACTTTCTGTTTATAGTGATACTCCTTGAGGAAGTCCTGCAGGGCAGGGGGCAATGGCAAAGAGCCTATACCATCATAAGTGGTCCATCGGCAGATGGCAGCCCGAGCCAGGTGCTGCAGGGTGAAAGGGAAGGTCCGGTTCAGAGGCACTGTAAGCAGTGGCTCAAAGAACATGCAAGCGCTGGGGTCTTTGTAGTGCTCAAGCAGTCCTGTAACGGTGGAAGAATGGAAAACACACGGATCGTGAGCATCGAAGCTGAAGTTGTGGTTCCACTGCTCGATGCGTGCGTGAAGAGATCTATTGTAACGGCGGAAGCTGACGGAGAAAAGGTAGTCCTCCTGGGCCGAGTCACGCAGCAGGAAGGTGCCTTCTGGTCGTCCGTCTAGAAGCGCCTCTGCCTCATAGCGGTCCATCACACCCCAGTAACAGGGCAGAGCTGTTATCTGCAAGAGGTCTGGCACCAGACAGTGGATATAGTCTATCTGGGTGTGAACCTTCCAGGGCCCAGGCTGCTGCCGGCTCTGGTGACCATCTCCAGAGGCATGCCTCTGCTTAGGTCTTCTAGCTTGAAGACATAAGGTGGTTGAATCCTCCTCAGAATCACAGTCCTGGGCTGATGCTGTTGCCCCCAACAACGACCCACACACCCCTGATGATCCCACGCTCACAGAGCTGGAAGCTCCGCTGGCACGTGCTTCCCCAGAGACCTCTCCAATGCCAGGAGCCATCTTTGGTCCTAGTTTGTAGAGAGAAGGACCTGGCACGGAGGCCTCCAGGGTGTGGATCTGTGCATTAGGAGGCGGGTCGACACCTTCCTCGATGCTAAGCCTGCGGCGTTCGCGCAGACGCTCCTCCTCATCTTCTGGTGATGGGTGGACTGGGTCGAAGGCATCCAGCAGGGCAGTAGAGGAATGAGGACTCACCGGTGCTGTGTGCTGTTTGATCAAGTGCCACTTATGTGCTAGGTCGGAGCCCGGTGGGAAGGGGCAGGTCTCCAACATAAGCTCAGTCAGGTGAATTTTCCTTTTGGAGTTAACAGGGTTTTTAGAATGTGAGCGTCTGCGAGCAGGTAGAGGTAAACACAGCCCGACTGTGTCGCTCAGGCGCTGGCGCAAAGAACGAGCGTTCGGACTTCTGCCCCCAGATCCAGAGTCATTGATCTCCTGGATGGAGCTAATTCCGTAACGCCTATCCCTGCGGTTCCCGCAGCCTCTTAAACGCCCAGAACGCCTGTCGGCCTCCAAAGAGCTCTGGGTTTTTGTGGAGCATGAGTGCTTCTTCTTGCCCCCCCACGGAGCGTGTCGGGAATAAGAGTCTCTCCGTGCCATGGGAACACCACCAGAGATTCCTCTGGCATCCTCAGAGTCCTTATCAACAGAGATCTCTACAATCTGCGGGATATCTGACACACAGTTATGATGACGGCGTCCTGTTGCGACCACTGGTGCTGGCATGAGGCTCCATGACTGGCTGGAGGTGGCAGGGCCCTGAGCCTCAACCTCTGCGCCTCCCTCACCAAGATCCACCACACACTGGACCGTTTCTACCTCCACTCTGTTTTCAGTAGATCCCGCACTGTGGAAGAGAGTCTGGCATCTGCTCTTGAGGCTGCTCCACATGTTGCCCACTGTCTTCAGGAAACGGAGCACCTTGGACCTGGCAATGACAGCAGACATCATGGATTAATTCACAAGTGGACTGTTTTAACCAAAACAATGTTTTCAATTCTGGAGAAAGAACCCTGCAAAGAGTCCCCTTCATTTTAATTCCTCAGGCTACTGTGTCTGCAGTAATTAGTCTTGGTAGGAGCGTAACAGGGCCAATGTGGCTCTGAGGTGGGGGAGCTTGAGTGGTTTTAACAGCAGCAGATTTAGGAGTTGCCAGGCAGACGTGAAGAGACACAAGGCCATGGCTATAAATGAACCTGGGATCTGCTCACAGCTGATCTGCTGGTATGTACTGTATTACAGAGCCAGTCTAGACCTGACCAAAACCTTTCCTTGCAACAGCAACAGACGAGGCACAATTGCATGCTTTCCCTCCATCTTTAACCCCCTGTTCTCACACACTTACTGCTGATTTATGACTCAACACCACCAAGATGTGTCAGGGATTTGGAAGAAATTAGATGACTAATTTTGGAAGGATTTTATTTTATTTTTTGTAACTTTCCTATTAACATGACTCACCTTAATAAGAATTACTGTAGTGCAAACTTTTACTAAAAGAAGTACACCCAAAGTACTTATTTCTAAAACCACAAAATAGCGCTAAAAAGTGAAACAGATGATAATGAAGCATAGTTTAACATTTGAATTACCACAAACCTGAAAAACAAAAATAAGTATATGCTTTTGTTCGGCCCTCTTTACACCAATAAACTCTGTTTATCCATTTTCCTTAAAAAGTCATCTAACTAGCAATTAACACTCGTGTGCTATAATTCAAGATGAACCCAGCTGCTCTGTAAGGCTTTGTTAATGAACATCAGGTGAATTAAAAGCATAAAAAAAAAACAACAAAGCATACAGCAAATGGTTCAGATCGAAGTCATTCATGGCTACACGACACATGAATAAAATGTACTTTGATTTAAACCTGTAATTTGAATGTGGAAAAACATTAAATCCTTTAATACTTTTAGCATAAAAGCCTCATTAAACCAAATTATAAAATCACACATGCCTAGCACAGTTTCACCATCGCCCACTCAGCACTTTCTCTTCGTCTTGAACATTTTCTAACGAAACAGTTCAATTAAAGTGAAGTCACATCAAGTAGAGTCTGAAACGATTACATTTATGACAGTTCCAGGTGAAATGACTCAAGTTCACAACTCTGCCACTTTGTGAAAGTGTAACTTCTTAATTCTGTACATGTGGTGATGTTCAGTACTCTAGAGTTTCATGCAATGTTTAATAATATTCAGCTTACCATGTCCAGTAGGTTGTGCTCATTAGAAAAAGGTTTAATATTACAGGAATGAAAACAGATGTTGAAGTAATGCAACTATATTTAATACACATGTATATAACTTTACCCTTTTTGGAACCCTGGGTTTATTACCATCAGAAATTAAATAATCTACCGATAAGAGAAAATAAGAACTTTCCAGACAGTGAGGATGCCTGGGTACTAGACAAATGAATAACTGGAGAGATAACATGTTCCCGGTGGCTGTGGGACTCCAAAGAATCAAACTAGAAGAACTGGAGGAGTAGGGCAGGAAAAGGGAGGTCTGATGATCCATCTTGGACCCATCCCAAAAGACAAATGGATGGTAATAAATTATCCACTGAAAGAGGTGGTGCCATTTCACAGGAATGCCACAAGTAGAAATATTTAAAAATTCAAATTTGATTCACAAATTAAAACCTTTTATTCTTAAAGGGCAGCTATGTCAAAAAGCTAAGATATACAATGTTACAAGGCAAAATACATAAACAAAACGTAGAGTATGTATGAATTACGTGGAACATAACAGACCCAATACTGCATCCAAGCAGGCTTTGTGATGCAATACTGGACACAATGATGATTGCAATATACTGTAGCTACAAATCAACATCTAACAAAACAGAATTACAATTGGATTGGGAGGAAACAGATGTGTAGCCTGAGAAAACCATTGATCAATGAGGTTAGTTTCTACAGAGCATATTGAACAGTGATGCAAAGGAGGAAGGGGACGCTACTTAGGGGTGATGGGTGCAGCTGGGTAAATACATGAAGAGATGTGCCACACCTGATGCCTGCTGCATGAGGCTGTGGATGTTGGCCAATGATCAGAGAATCCATAGGTTAGTGAGGCCAACGTTCTGCAATGAATGGAAGTCAACCAACTACCTGATGAGTTGAATGAGCGGGTTACACTTCCTTCCACGAATACATGGGCATATTGAAGATAAGGTCGGAATCGATGGGTCTCACACTGGGGTTTAGTAGTTCAAGAAGCATGGGACATTCACTGGCCACAACGTAATAAAGACCCAATCTAGAGTGTTAAGGATCAGCCCGAGGACACGTTTGTACAACTGTCCAACATGCATAATCTCTTTAGTACTGGGGTTACAAATCTATTCAGTTCAGAAAGGATATAAATGAAGTTCAAACAGCTTATTGAAACTATGCCACAGCAAATGTGTGCTTTGAAAATGACACATTAGAGTGACTTATCTTTTGAATATGCAGTGCTATAACCTCATAATTAATGGTGGCTCAGTCTGTTACACTAAATGTGGTGCAAGCTCACTAATCAGATAATGGAAGGGTCAGACATTGCTGACTGAGGAATGCTGTAGAGATGTCCCGATCCAGGTTTTTGCATTTCCGATCCGATACCGATATTGTTTTTGGACTTCCGATCCGATACCGATACCGGCCGATACCAGCCTATTCAAGCATGCATTTAAGTTTAAGTTAAAGTATTTAGCCTTAGTTGTAAGACTCATGTTGAAAAGGGTTTTAGTACTCTTGATAACATCTAGCCAGCTGAATTAGGTGAGATTGAATAAAACACAATGCTTGGTAACAACAAACGTACCTGTTTATTAAGAGATAAACACAAACTGGACAAAATTATGAATAGCAATCTGAAATTGCACAGTGAACAGTAAAACCGTAAACAGTTAAAGGTGCAAGTATTACTGTAAGTTTTAATAAAAATGCAAAACAGACAAGAGTGGAAAATATTCTATTAACTTAGAATCAGGACTCTACTCTTGAAAAAAGACACTGCTTAAAAAAAAACAGTGCAAATAACAGTGAACTATTACACAAAAATGCCTTATACTCCCCAATCTCCTCCACACCTAGTCTCCATCTACACATCATGCAGGATAAAATAATCCCACACGGCTGACCACGGATCCCCTTGCCCGCTATCTTCCAATTCACCTGTTTTAATGGTTAGGCCGGGAGACAGACCCAAAAAGACCTGTGGGTGTGTTGAAGGTGTTCTGGAAAATGCGGACCGGATTCGGGGAACACTGGCGCAAAATAGTGGAATGGATCGTTTCAATCGGCGAAACTGGAAAATACGGACCGGATTTTTTTTTAAAAAACTGGATCGGCAGTCTGGATCGGCATTTTTACATTCTTTGCCGATACGCATTTTTTTGCCAATATCGGCGTCCCGATCCGATCCACGTATCGGATCGGGACAAGCCTAGAATGCTGTTAACTAAACTAACTAAAAATACCCCCTTCTTTTAATCACCAGAGGTATAAAGAACAGTATTATAGTAAGCAGGTTTGGAAATTAACTTTTTGATTCACTGGCCAAGTGGACCAGAAGATAAAATAATTTACTGGCCAAATATATTTTAACCTGACAAGGGGGGGGGGGATAATTTACTCTCACATATTTTAAGGAACGTATTATTTCACTAATTGCATTTTTGTTCAATGCAAACAATGTTACAGTAAAAGGTAATGTAGTCACATAAATTAAAGTTGTAATTTAGAATTTCATTAAATTTAAAAAGAAGTGCAAAAGCAAAATACTTTTGATAAAACAATCATAAAAAACATTGAAAAAACAGCACACTATTTTCATTTATTACACTGTCCATAATTAAAAGGGTAGCTTTTCTTCCAATGGCATGGGCAGTGCTAATTAATATTTTTATCTTTCTGTGTCTGTGTCGATATAGCCATCAGCGGACTAACAGTTGCTGAGACATGAACATCCAGTGAATGTGTCAATTACTGCGCTTATGTCCATGGATGCCCCCCAGTTTCACAGATAGACAGCCAGTGACAAACACTGAGCAGCTCATTAGCATTAGCATCATCGTCATAACTAGGCCAGTCTCTTCCAAAACATTCTTCCCGAAAGCACAATTTTTCAATAAACTTTCTCTCCGCCTTGGAGGCTGTAGATCCTGGCCCACCCTCCTCCTCATCGGCATGCTCTCTTTTATGAGGCTTGGTTGCTCCAACCATATTCCACCACAGATTGCCAAGTGGCGATCTTGTTGCCAAATTACAGGGTGTTGGGGGTGTCCTCTCCGTACGCACATCTGTCTAGGAGCAGACAGCTGAGAAACAAAGGGACAGTCGGGGGACTTACCAAAATAAAAGATGAAATGACGATACTGAAGAACAACTTTGGCCCAATCAGTAGCTACGTTTACATGGACACAAATAATCGGATTGAAGGCCTGATCAGATCAAAAATGTTTCATGTAAACATGTCAGACTGAAGATTCTAATCCGATTCGGTCCGATCGGATATAAATTTAATTCCGAAAGAGAGAGGTGGTTTTTGCCGATCGCCATTCTGATTGGCGTCCATGTAAACACCCATTCGGATCTAAAGAGTAAAATAATCTTCACTGCGCATGTGTGCGACGTCAGCGTGACGTTTTTCCGCCTTGTCAACAACAGGAAACCACCGGTCGCTCTCGCTCTCGCTGTGAACAACATGGCGGGAGTAGTCTAGGAACGCCGACTTATACACTCAAGTTCATTTAAAGTTTCAGGAAGCAGGAATTTATCCTCCTCCTCTTCCTCTTTTCTCTCTCCACAGCCCACTCGCTCTCCCACGCCGGTTCAATCGCTCATTCTCTACATTTTCTCTCGGACATTTCGATGCCAAGCGCTTTTTTCCTCCTCTCTCCTTTTTTCTTTCCGCTCGCTCCGAGCGCATCGTT